ACAAGTATGTTACAGCAAACATGTTTAATCCTGAAGTGAGTGACCCTTATGCACTTCTCAAGGCCGCACTCTTGAAGAAAAGCGATCTCACAGATCGCCAACGTCTAGACGAATTGCTTCGTAACATCGAGCTAGGTAGCCACTCAGCTACTGAAGTCCTCGCACGCATGCGAGAAGTAATCGGTGCACGAACATTTGACGATGGTTTCTTCCGAGAACTATTTCTCTCGAAACTACCACAACCGGCGCAAACCGTGTTGGTGACACTCCAGTCAGCCCCACTCGACGACCTGGCAGCCTCAGCAGATAAAATACTGGAGATTTCCAGCAGACCCGTCTCCAACGTATATTCTATCTGCGACAAACCAGAGCGCCAGGATTCGGAGGTGACCAAGTTGTGCAACTCTGTGAAACGGTTGCTACGATCTCGAAGTCCTAGATCACGTAGCACTTCACAGAAACGCACCTTGACGCATCGCAGCAAGTCGTGTGGCAGCCCTAAAACGAAACCCAACAGGGTGGAAAACCCTGAATGGTGCTGGTTTCATAACACTTACGGGGATGAAGCCAGAAAATGTCGTAAACCATGCAGTTTTAAGAAGGATACAAACTCGGGAAACGGTCAAGCCGGCACGTGCTCACGGCAACCGTAGCCGGCGGAAAAAGCCGTTTGCTCTACGTCACCAACGTTAAGACGAAAGTCCGCTACCTCGTCGACACCGGCGCAGAAGTTAGCGTTCTTCCAGCAACGACAAAGCAGCGTCATCTCGACCCATCCTTTAATTTTCAAGCAGCCAACGGCAGGGCAATCACGACATTCGGGAGACGGTATGCCTACCTCAACCTAGGTTTACGCAAACCTATTCACTGGATCTTCCTCCTTGCTGACGTCTCTATGCCCATCTTTGGCATAGATTTGCTAAACCATTACGATCTACTCGTAGATGCTCGCCGTCGACGACCGATAGATAACAACACAAAGTTATCTATTGGCGGCACCACCTATGTAGGTCCGAGTTTAGCCATCGTTAGGACTAAACAAACAGGCGATGCATCCTACCAGGCAGTTCTGGAGAAATATCCAGAGTTACAGCAACCGAAGCACACTCTTCCGTGCATAACCAGCAATGTTATGCATTACGTCACAACCACAGGTCCACCTGTGGCATCCAAAGCGCGCCGTCTAGCCCCCGATAAGCTCCAAGCAGCGAAAAATGAATTCGACCATATGCTCGAACTGGGCATTATCAGACCGTCGAACAGTCCTTGGGCATCGCCATTGCACATGGTTCCCAAAAAGGATAGCAACGACTGGCGTCCAACCAGTGATTACCGAAGGCTTAACGCCAAAACAACTCCAGACTGCTACCCGATACCTCAATAAAACCCTCGTACACTTTGCCCTTTTATATATATATATATATATCAATTTTTATTTACCATGTAATGAAATTTTTTAAAACGGTGAAGGTAAGCGTAAATTTTTATTTTTC